GACATTTTTTGTAAGCATAATGCTATGGTCATACTGAGAACTGAATAAAAAAAGGAAGTCATTTGGCACAATATTATGTATATGGGCCATGTAATGCAAATAATGTTTGAATTAGTGGATTATACCTTTATTCTAAAGTACATTGAGTTGCTGTTTTTAGAATCATGCCAGGAACAGAAAAGAATATCATCATTATTTCAATGACTTATAGAGAAATGAATTCAAAAACAAAGGAATGTATTTAGATATTATTATGTTGATTTCTCTATTTGCTATTAAACTGGGACTGCAATGGATATTGGCTGTAATGTGATTTTTTTTCTGTTTATTTTTCTTTTTAGAGAAACAAATACAGAAAAATGGCACATTTAAATACTACCAAAAAATAAAATTAACCAAGCCAATGATTCTTTTGAGGGATTCACACAAATACAGTTATATACAATCTCACATAAAAAAAAATCACAACATCATAACAAAAAGTAATAGCAACAACAAAGTGTATGTTCAAAGCAATCTAAATATCATGTTAATGATTAGTATAGCCAACTGGCTGAGCCTGTAACATATAAATGATAAAAAATATCACTAAAGGAACCATGCTGGGAATAGGCAGTGTCTCACAAAAGCAAAGTGGCTGCATATATACACAAAAGCTATGAGCAGAAAATTCCAGAAAATGAAAAGAAATGAAAATACTGAATACATAATGAGACTACCATGCAAGTATTCAGATGCATAGAATTCTTTCAACAAATTTGATGAAATGCTAAGCTTGATTAAAATACTATCTACTCATGCCATAGAACAAAGCAAGAGACAACATTGCAGTCCCCTGAGAATAATGTTCCCTATTTGGGAAAATTAGGGAAAATTAAATATTTTGAAATATTGCAAACTATATCATTTCAAAAAATAAAATCATCACAAGAAAAGATAAAAAAAAACATTGAAAAATGCAGTATATAAATAAAAAATATTTTGATTGTATGTATATGCATGTGTATATACACACATGTATAAAATGATGTAATTAATATTCATGAATTTAATTTTTCTTGATCGAGGTCACTTGATTACAAAACTATTAAATTTAGGTAAAGGAAATGGAGCTGGCTGAATATAATTCTACTCAATAAAAATTAGAATGACAGAAATAGATGTTACATACTAAAAACTTTCCTTGATTTGCTTCCAAGACTCACTCTTGAAAATTAATTCTGCAACATTGTTTTCTCATATAAATTTTAGGTTTTATCTTGGCATTTCAAAGAGTATCTGAAGGAAAATATGTGTGTGTGTCTGTGTGTGTGTGCATCCATGTGCATTTATGCAGTTGAGTGCAACCTGGCATTGCATCAGGTAACAAACAGTATATACAATAGAAGATAAAGCAATAGCCAGGCAAACTGACTGTATCTTTTCTTTGAATAAAAAAGAATTTCTAATAAAAGCCGAGAAGATCTTTGAAACTGATCAATTGAAATAAGAAATGCTCTTGTAGTTGACTCAGTCACAAAAGTGGATACAATAGAAAAGGACTAAAAAACAACTTGATCAAACAATATGCAATAAATATGCTACTGGATAGCCACAGTAAGTATAAATAAAAAACAAGCACCATCATTTTAAAATATTTATGATTAAGTAGTTAACTGTTACTAACAGAAGTATCAAATACTGAACACTCAAATAAAAAATTCTTTGGCCAACATAGTAAATAAATCAATTGTACTTAACATGGTAACAAAAGAATCTATTTGCATCCCGAGAATTTATAATTACATAGGGGGAGCTGAAAATTCTCAATTCGACACACTTCTCAAAAAATCAATAATTCAATGACCAAACATCAAAATATTGATTTTGGGAAGTGGGTAGTATCAAAAAATTTTCAATACCTCCTTGTACTCCTATTTCTTTAAATTATTTAACAGTACCCCATAAACACACACACACACACACACACACACACACACACACACACACACACACACACACACACACACACAAAAGTAAGGTTTCCATAAAAATTTAACAAATGTTGCATTAAAAAGTCTGTAAATATTTGGGAGGTAATCATTTCAATAAACAATGCAACATCATCAAAACTAACTGCATGATTTTTCTACTGATTAAAAATTTAAGTAAACAGATATTTGGCATGATAAACAAACTAGAATTTTAAAAATCAAACATCATTTTGGCTAAAAGATATTTAATTTCAGAAAAAGGCTTATTTATATTTTCTAAAATGAAGGGTTAAAGTGCAGAAAGATGCAATGGAGACAATTGGAAATTTGAGCAAGGGATGTACGATGTTGCCTTCACTAAGCTATGTTAAGTGTTAGTTATTAGTTGTTGCTAATAGCCAATATTTAAGCTACTACCTGAAGATGAGTCATTGCATGTTCTAGAGTTCATAACCAACGGTATATCAACATGTCCATTGGATGAAATAGGTTTTCGCATGACAAATCTAGGACTTGAAATGATTTCTTTGACAAATGTAGACAAAACCTAAGTGCTCTTTGAAAATTTCTTGTTCTGTAATGAAAAAAAAAAAAAAAAAAAAAAAAAAAAAAAAAATTCCAGGTCAAATTCTTTAAAATTTTTGCATATGTTTAACACACACTCATCAATACACATTTACACAAACATACATATACATATATACACTAATAAATAAAATGCATATAAAATACACACTTAATACCAAAACCTACACCCATTCCTTATCCTGAACAATAAAGGCAAAATTAGAAAATATTATAGAATAACAAAAATAACGAATAATTACTTTGGCATTTTTTTCTGTTTTAGTGCATAAACATAAATATTATATAATAAAATATTGCAGAAAAGCATTTATTCAGTATGGGCTCTTATTCAAAAAATAAGTTTTTAATTCAGAAGAATGTTTAATGGATAATTTTCTAACTCTTCTTGTGAGGCTGAAAGATTAGAAAGATTTTAACTTTCATGTGCATGTATATTCTAACTGTTCTCTACCATTTCACGGCATAAAGGCCAAAAACTAAAAAGGAAAGAAAGTTATTTAAATACATGGTGAGTTTATCAGTCATTACAATACTGTAAATATTTTAACCAGATACCATATAAATACTAATGTACTGGCACCTTTAATATAAAGAATGAGTTATAACTCATTCCCTATAATATTGTCAGTTTGCTCTTCCCTCCAACTAAGAGATTGCACATTTATTGATATTTTCAGTCATTTAGATATTGCAGAGTTTACATGCAGAAAAATGATCATAGTAAGTAATAAGCAGGAATGACTTAACCATTTATTTAGTATTTGCACTGAAATTGGCACAAACCATAATACCATTTCAACCACATACAAGATGAAAATATATTTTATAAAAACTGAAAATCAAAAAACATTCCAATTATGCAAAACATTTTGGGGAGAATGATGCGATTGATCATTTGACAATGAGAAATTCTTGCTTTTTAGAAGTTAAATGAAAATAAAAGAAAAAGACTTGTAACTGCCCTATAACAATCTGTCATGAAAAGGTTCTAAAAGGATTCAGCCCTTAAGTTTAAATCATATTCATATATCTATTGACTTCACATGATTCCAGATTGAATGAAAAATTTATTAAAAATCTAAATCAGACATACCAATTCTTTCTTCAAATATCCACTCTTGTTGTTACAATCAAATTATAACTAAATGTTGCTATGATTTAATTTATTAATGGAGTGGTTCTATTATTGAATTCTATTTTTGGCAAAGAAAATCTTCCTTTATTGATTATATTTTAAAACACAATGATTTGGTAATTCTAATTTTGAAAATTTGTTTTGACTGATTTTGATTAGGTGGTAGATTAAGTTTTATCCTTTTTGACTCAAAGAAATTTCTACTCTTTAAACTTTTTTACTATATAATTTGTTTTTTTATTAAGATATTTTTTCTTCTGTAGGATACAAAAATGTCATGGATTAAAGTAACTTCAATTAAGAATTTAATTAGAAAGATATCAACAAAAAGTAGAGAATTTATGCAGAATAAAAAAAGAAGAGAATAAATTGTCTAGTTTGTGAAAATGAACACAAAATCATGAGACAGACTTATTTTTTTAAGGAGATGCATGAAAAAGAAAAGTAAAATAAAAATATATAAAAAAAAATTTAATAAAAATATTATCATCATCATCATCATTATTATTATTATTATTATTATTAATACCAATAATAATACTTTATATAAAATATTTTAATTAATTTAAGGAGCTTTAAAAAGGAAAAATAAGTGAAACTTAATTTGAGCAGAATAATTTTAAAATAAATATACATTTCTAAAAATCTTTCTTTCTCTCTGTCTCGCTCTCTAAACTTGAATTAATTTTATTTTTCAAATTTAGAGATATCAAATTTATTTTAACTATAACAAAACAACATATTAAAAATGATTATTTACAAATACTTTTAAAATTTAAAAATTCAAAGAAACACTAACAGTATTTTTTTAAAATCTTATTGATTCTACATATACATACATTAGGATAAAGAGTATATACAACACAGGAATAAAGATATTTTTAAACTTAATTTAGAGAAGATTAGCATAAAATAGAAATAAGCTACAAGGGTTGTAAGCTGTAATTTTGGAGGTGGGAGTAGTAGTAGCAGTTGTAATTCCAATAGTAGAAATGGAAGTAAAATTAAACAGATCATATGGTAAATAATAAGTGTCCCAAAGAGTAGTAGTAGTGGTAGTAGTGGTAGTAGTAGTAGTAGTAGTAGCAATAGTAGTAGTAGAAATGGTAGTTGCTAGCATTCATGCAAGGGTCTGTTGCTGCTGCTGCTGCTGTTGTCTGCTGTGGCCCTATAAAAAGGGGCTGGGAACCTGTCACTAAAGCATTGGCGCACACCAGTACTAGGCAAAAACATGCTCAGAGCTTACTTTTAGTTGATTTCAAATAAAGTGGTCTGAGTATATATCAATCCATAACATGGGTATGTTATTTTTCCAAGGCCTGAAAGTAGAACGAAAACTAGCTATAGTTTAACCCTTTGGTGTTTCAATTTAAGATTGGGTTTAGACAATAAATATGTTCCAGTAGGTTGGAGAAGTGAAAAAATTAATAGGTAATAAAAAATAGTAATGGTAATGATGATAAATTTCTCTTAAACTGTAGAAAGTTCAAACAACTTTCAAGCTTCTGAAGGATAACTGAATTTTCACAAGTTTGATTAGATACTAGAAGGTGGTAATTTGAAAAGGCAGTTTTATAAGTCAGCTACCAAAAATATCAGACTTCAAAACTGAATGTATTTTCTGATAAATGTGTGTACCATACAGGCACACATAAAACAGAATATACCTTAAAAATAAAATGAGTAGAGATTTTTATTTTAATTTGCCTTTTTATATAAACTTTAGAGGATTTTATTGGTTTTATTTATTTTTAATTATTATTATTTAATTGTTCTTCAGGCTGATCTGGTTTTCTTTACAATAGTTGTTTAATTAAATTTACCAGAAAAAAAAAAAAAAAGAAAGAAATTAGGGAAGAAAAAAAAAGCAGATTTTTTTTTGCTATTGTAACAAATTCTGAAAAGAACAAATGGACAAAAAAAAAAAAAAAAAAAAAAAAAAAACTTGTAAAAAATGAATTAAAATATGAATAAAAACAAACAAAACAAATAGAGGTTCCTTCTTAATTAGAAGAACAGAAATGAGATCCTTGCTTCTAATTAACTTTCATACAAAAAGAAAAGTGAAAGATAATTGATATTTATGACATGGGCAATTATAGATTTTACAAGTACATAAAACTCCAGTACATGGCATTTGAGAAACTGGCTGGTTCATCCTAGAGGTTAGATTTATGACTGAAATCTTCTTGAGTCATTTAAGTTTTCACCAAATAAATCTCAGTGCCAATTCCAAATCTCTTTGAACAGCATTTAATACTGATATCCTACTGCAAGCCACAAGGTCTATAGTACCAAATTTGAGAAGATTCGTCAGATATTAAGTAGAGCAAATTAAAAAAAAAAAAAAAACGTTTTTTCCTTGTTCTTATAAAATGAAGTTTTGAAAACTTATAAACTATAAGCATAAATAGTTACAAAACTAATAACAATGGTTGTACTAATAGCAGTAGAGAACAAAATGAAGGATTCAGTAAAAAAAAAAAAGTATAAAAGATGGAAGACAAGCAGAACATTACTTTGATAAATTACTTTAATATCAGTCTTACAATGATCTTTCTAATATTTCAGATACAAATATTATATAAATTATAGAGCCAAATACAAACATTTATTACAATATAATAACCAAATGATATTCAAATCATTAAGGACAGTATTCTTTTTAAATATTTAATTATTTAGTGCTCAAATGAAAATGCTTAAAAGAAATTCAGCTCTCAAAGATAACCAAATTATTAATGAAGTTCCATGAAGATAATAATATCTTATAATTTTGTAAGTTGATTGTCATCATTTTACGTTTCTTTATCAAACATGTATATGTTCCCTTAGAAAAGGAGAGAGGGAGCACAAAAGTTAAAATTTACTAATAGCTGGCAAATATAAGTGGAATTAAAATTAGATAGCAGAGTGAGAAGAAAGAGTTTCAAATAAAAAATATAGATAAACACAAGATTATTTGATACATCAAAATTAATTAAAAATAATTTAATAGCAGTTCACATTGCTTGTTCTAATATTTTTTTCATTTATATAAATATGACAGCAGTTATTAATATATGAAGAGTTAAGCAAAAAGTAAAAAAAAACAATTGAGAAAATTGAGTAGAATTTTGAAACATTAGATCACCTGAATTTTGAAAAGCATATTTACTTTTCTAACCTACTCTTAATTTAATACTATTCAAACAAAAGTAAAGCTTGTTGGGTTGATATTGTGAACTGTCAACAAAATTAATTAGGAACTTCACTTGTCCATTTCAAGAAGACAAAAAAATTAATGAAAGAAAAGAGAATAAAAAGTATTTTTTAGTTTTATTTGAAGAAATTCTAAAATGAAATAAGAATTTTAAATGAAAACTGAAAGGCAAAATAGAAAAAAAAAGAAAGATGAAAAAGTAATGTCTCCATTATTGCATTTCAAATGAGTTGTTTACAACTTTTTATTAGTCTCAAATAGAATTTAATCAAGTGTATGAATTTTTTTTCAACTTCAGCATTACTTGCTTGCTTACAAAGTAAAAGTGAATCAAGAAAAACATGAAAAAATGGTGTCAAATTAAGGATCTGGGAAATACAAGTTGCAAATTAATCAAAATATATATAATTAAATTAAAAATATGAAATTTCTAGGATTTTGTTTTCAGCTAAACCACATCAAGTAGGAAATTTGCTTTATAATTCAAACTCATATAGAGATCTTAAAAAAGTATTTATATTCTTAGTTAATAATTCCATTTTAAAACTTGATGAAGGAAAGCATTCATTTTGTGCAAAAGTGAAAGATTTGGAAAGAAACAGAGAAAGATTAATTTTAAAAAGTGTAAGAGAGGATGATAAGTAGAAGATAAAACTGGAATCAAAATTGTATAAGAAATTGAAAGTAACATAAAACTAACACCTGGTCTGTTTCATGTTATGTGATGTATTAAGTAGATATTTTAAATAAGTTGCTGGATTGTAGTATTGAGGTTAAGAAGATTAGGAGCCATAAAGCCAATAGTTCAATTACTAAGTTTCAGTAAACAAAGTTTCTTAAACACTAAAGTGAATCAAACTTTCAGAAATAAATGGACTGCAATTGCTAGTTATCAAAGCTTTTGTCTTTCAATTTAATATTAGTTTAGATGTTAAACATGTTCTTGTGTAACAAACTGGATTACTTCAAGAAATATAAGTGAAGAATAATGCTAGTTACTAAATTACTTTATCATAATTGAATCTAACAAACATTAGGTACCCAAAATTGATTATAACATAATATAGTAGGATAATGTTGTGATAAAAATATTATGTAACATACAGAAAAATGACATATACAAAAAATGTCTGTTTCAAGAAGGCCTACATAGACACAAAATGTTGATTAAAATTTATTAGAAGTAACCATTATAATATAAGGACTCACTCAGAATCTGAAAATAAACATTGCGTGAGGACAATGATTTCTACTAAACCTTTTAGGATACAATATTTTCTTGAATATATAACAATGGCTTGCAGTTACCCATGACTAGAATACTGCTGTGACTTGCAAAAAATAAAATAAAATTGTTTCCAAGGGGAACTAATCAACAAATTTTATAGCCAATCTATAATAAATTGCTTAACAAATGTCCTAAAAAACAAGTTAACATCTTCACATCTCTTAACCTGAATAACTAAAAGGCTCGTGAAGGCATTAATATCATAAACTGACAACTATATTTTAAACATGCTATGAGATGAAAATTGTTTGAATTATTAAATTTATCAATAAGCATGATAGAATATTATGCACATCACTTACTTTCACTTACTTGCAACTAGCTCATTTCATAACATAGCTGATCAGAGAAATAGATGAATGCCACGAGGAAAATATTAAAAATATAATACATCTAATCAGATCCAAATGACTTTACTATCAACAAAGCATTTAATATTATTGAGAAGGTATCTTTTAGGACAGTATAAAAGAAAACTGGACAGATTAAATAATTAAAAAATTTTTTTTTTAAGTGACAAAAAGTACCATCCATCATGATAGAAAATGTAACAAGTAGATATTCTGCTGGTAAAAAAAAAAACTATCTTGATTCTGCCACATTGCTAATGGCTTTGTAAAAATCAAGGACTAATTTGAGCAATGACAGTCAACTTACTATGAACCATAACTGCTTTTTTGTGATTTAAGCAAGCAAAAGCATACAGAAAACAAATAAAAAGCATGATTGAATTTCTAAAAGTTTTAAAATAATAAAGAATATTTCCAGGAATATATTGTTTGCTGATCTGATAAAAATAAAATTTTAAAAAATGGAATATTTTTTATTTATTTGTGCAATCTTTCTGGAATCTTCCAGATAACAAATTTGTTACAAGTATTTCATAAAATTAATGTGTTGACAGCTTTAAAAGTGATAGCTATTATTCAGAATGAAGAATGGATGAGTAATTAAGTGTTTTGTGGCTCAGATTGTAATAATAAATTAACAGTAATGATACTCTCAAAGAAAGACTTTGTTAAAGAGTGTACAGGATTTAAAAAAAAAAAAAAGACATGTTTCCAAGAGACTAGCCTTACAATAAAGCAAAAGATAATACAGCAAGGTGCCAAACTTCCTTTCAGCTTAAATAAAGACAGATCAAAGCAAAGCACTCTCCAAAGATCTAATAAGAGACAATTCCTATACATAGTCCTAGAGCATGCTCTATCAAATGAGACATGCTTAATTAAGTGTTGCTTCTTTTCATATTTATAGATTAAAATTGACAGATAATTTTTTTAAATTGCTAAATAAAATCTTCAAAATCATTTAAATTTTCTAAAAATGAAGTTAAAATTAAGCTTACAAAGAAATTATGTTGCAGCCTAATTAGAAAAGCAAGTAGAATTAACAAAAATTCTACAATAATTAAAAATGCCATTTTTGATGCTAAATCTTCCAATATGTGGAGGTGTTGAAAACTTTTCAGCCTGACCAAGAAGCTCTTCTAAAAACAAATAAAATAGAATATGTTTGGTCATTTGATGAAATTTTGGCAAGTAAGTTGGACTAAGAACTTTTCAGTACTCCATCATATACATCCATTTGTGTGCTATCTATTTATCTATTAGGATGCAATATGTGCAATATGTGAAAGAGCAAAACAATACTGTAGCTTCAGCATCCAAAGAAAGTCAATCAAAGAGGAACTGCTCAGAATCAAAAGCTATTCTTAGTGATAATTGTTTCAAATACACTTGAAATATTTCCTTTTTGTCAACCCAATTTTATACTTACTTCGAGTTACATGTAATTTTCTGGGAATCTAAAGTAATGCAAAATTCTTT